CCGGCTCCCTCACCGAATGGCTTTGGCCTCCTGCGCTAACGGCTCTGATCTTTTCCCCTCGGCAGCCTGCGTGACTCCTGCCTTCCACAGAAGGGACTGAGCAGGTGCCAAACGGGCTGAGCCTTTTGGGAATGAGTAACGATCCTACAGCTTTCTCCAGTCTGGAGACGGGAAAGCGCAAGGCCTCTATGAGCCAGTCGACTCGCTGCCACCCACGGGCAGAGTGCCATCCTCAGTCCTTCCCCTCCGACCCACCTGGCCTGATCAAGAGGCACCCCCTTCCGGTTTATTCCCGCAAAGACCCCAGTACAAATCTCAGGAGTTGGCCCCTTCTGCTTTTGCTCAGAATCCTCGCCTGGCCCGGGGGAGGTGGGGATGTGCTATTTTAGAAGGGAGGCGGGGTTGGCCCCCAGAGAGTGCTGAGTCTAGGTGGTGCTCAGGCCCAGAATAGCCCGGGGAAATCAGAGCCACAGCTGTTAAAAGAGCAGAGGGCAGGGCAAGGGCCGTGGCCTCTCAGGAGTACCTGGAAGGCCCAAGGAGTTGAATCCTGGCCCAGCCCGGACAGCAATGTGGACAAAGATTATCTTGCTGGGATGAAGAGGAGAGGAAAGCAGAACCCTCAGCAATGGGTGGGGTCTGGAGAATGAAGGCTTCCTTGTGATCTCATCCCTTCCTGTCACCATCTCATCCTCAGAGGTGGTTTGCGCACCCCCCACCGCCTACATTGACTTTGCCCGGCAGAAGCTAGATCCCAAGATTGCTGTGGCTGCGCAGAACTGCTACAAAGTGCCTAATGGGGCCTTTACTGGGGAGATCAGGTGAGATGCAGGTGGGAGAGGGGTGGGTGGGGGACCCAGTCCTCACTGTCCTTATGGAGGGGAAGCCACAGGGTGGGCTCACTGCTGAACCATGGCTTTGTCTCTTCCTCTAGCCCTGGCATGATCAAAGACTGCGGAGCCACGTGGGTAGTTCTGGGGCACTCGGAGAGAAGGCATGTCTTTGGGGAGTCAGATGAGGTTAGTAACCAGGGGAGGAGATAAGAGATGGCTTATTCCTCGAGAGGTGTCTCACCAAGTCTGTTCCTCAACAGCTGATTGGGCAGAAGGTGGCCCACGCCCTGGCGGAGGGACTCGGAGTCATCGCCTGCATTGGGGAGAAGCTAGATGAGAGGGAAGCTGGCATCACTGAGAAGGTCGTTTTTGAGCAAACCAAGGTCATCGCAGGTATCTCTGGAGAAAGGGACCTTTGAGCCTGGCCTTGGCTGCAGAGACACAGAGGGTGGGGCCAGAATCCCTGCAGCCCATCCTCATGCTGATGCAGAAAGGGGAGGGTGAGAACCCTCATATCCTTCCTATCACTTCTGCTCCTGCCCCTCATGGTATAGATGCCACCTGGAGTTCCTTTAACGGCCACCAGGGGACAGTAGGTTACCATCGGTCTCATTCCCTGGGGAACAGCCGCATGCCTCCTTCCTTTTCACCCTGCCACCCCATGATCTCTGCCCCACAGATAACGTGAAAGACTGGAACAAGGTTGTCCTGGCCTATGAGCCTGTGTGGGCCATCGGTACCGGGAAGACTGCAACACCCCAACAGGTAACCAAGCCCAGGAGCCCTGCCCTCATTCTTCCTACCTTGGTAGACTGGACGGCCACAGAGACCATCTGGGCCAACCCCTCATTTAAAAGACAGGAGGACAGAGAGTGACTTGTCCAAGAACATCTGTTCCAGCGCCTGGGTGGGATGGAAGCCCTAGTGTTCTATCCCAGATTCCAGGGTTGTTGCCCCCAAACCACACTGCCTCTTTCCACTGGTGCTCAGGGTTTTTTTCCCCTTTGAGTGAAAGTCTTAGTCTTGCTTCTTCTTCTAGGCCCAGGAAGTACATGAAAAGCTCCGGGGATGGCTTAAGTCCAATGTCTCTGATGCAGTGGCTCAGAGCACCCGCATCATTTATGGGGGTAAGTGGGTTTGGCTCCAGCCTCAGGTCGGGGGGGAGCTGAGAACTAGACCTGGGGTGGGGATGGAGTATCCCCATCCCATCCCTGACCACCCCCTCTCTCCCTCCTCAGGTTCTGTGACTGGGGCAACCTGCAAGGAGCTGGCCAGCCAGCCTGATGTGGATGGCTTCCTTGTGGGTGGTGCTTCCCTCAAGCCCGAATTCGTGGACATCATCAATGCCAAACAATAAACCCCGCCCAGATCTCCCTTACCCTTCCTGCTGAGCCAGGGACTAGTTAGCTCAGAAGCCCAACGTAACTGTGCCGCCCCCCCACCCCCACACATGCTTCTGATGGTGTCACCTTGCCCCCTTTCGTGGCCTAATCCAAAGTGTACCTCTTCCTTTACCGTTTACACCCTACCCTGTTAATGGTTGGGACCAGGCCAATCCCGCCTCCACTTACTATACCAGTTGGAACTAAACCTGTCAACAAGGTGGCTTCTCCTAGGCTGGGAGGTGGGAGAGGTGGTTCGCTCGTGGGGGTCCCCTCAGTCCCCAGTGAAAGCAGGAGAGAGAAACAATCCTGTCCCATCTCGCGCCATGAGGCCAAGGGCTGAGAGAAAGTCCTGTCCTCCGCTGAGGCCAGGGTGCTGCTCCTTCCCACGGTGCCAACACCTGTGTGTTGTCTGTGAGCAGTCCCACGTGTGGGGGAAATAAACACCTGGCACTGAGCCTTGTGGTGTGTCCTTCTTCACCGAACTTGCCAGATCACCTTTTTCCTTTTGGAGGCAGCCAAGGGACCCTCGTGCAAAATAATACCACCACAGGTTTCTACAGCAGCACTTTTCTTACTATTTTTACTTGCAAATGTGTCTTGCATCCCAGGCTGCCACAGCCTTGAATACCAGCCCCCTCCCATCCCCCTCTGGGTGGCCCTGGGGCTGCTGTGCTCCCCAGAACTGGGGTTGGGGTGGAGCCCAGCCTCACTGGCTTTAGTTTGGGTAGCTGATCTCGGCCAGCAGTGACTCCTCCCTGCCCCAGCCCTGAAGAGGGGTGGGGTCCAGGCCCCAGTGCAAACTGTGGTGTCACAGGGGTCACTGGTAGAGCAGGTAGCGCTTCATGGCAGGGGGCAAGGGCAGAGCAGATATATGGCCAAGCCGGGTATCCCCAAGGGCGCGGCGCACACACAGGCGGCTCAGGTGCAGAAGGGAGTGTGGCTCCGCTGGGAGAGAGAAGAGGGGAAGGTAAGTAGGGGGTGTGGCCACCAGCCAGACATCCTCAAACCACAGGCCCCCACCTGCTTTCCTGCTGCAAGTCTGCTCCCACCTTGGTTGAGAGGGTGATCTAAGGCACCCTGAAACTCTGCATCTGCTCTTGGGGCAAGGGGAGGCACCACGGATTTCACACATCCCCAGTCAGAGCTGGGGTGATGCTTGAAGGCCCTCTAAGTAACAGGCCAAGGTGGCTCCAATAGCAGTGGAGCTAGCCCAGGCTTCCATTCCAGAGAGGCCTTGAAGCTGGGGCTGAGATGAAGGGCCCTCCACTCTCCAATAGCGCCCATGGGTGATGGGAGAAAGGCAGCCACCCTCTGCTGAAGACTTTGCAACTGCAGAGAACAGTTAAGTCCGGTCAGCCCCAAGGCCTGGCTCCATCAGTTCTCCCAAGGCCCTGCCTCCTTCACTGCTCTCCTGCCTGGTGCTGGGGGGGCCTCAATGGCTCCCTCTGAGGTTTGACTGAGGAAGGAGGCAGCCATGCATTCTAGAGAGTCAGAGGCCAGTCAGTCTGGCACACAACCTGGGTGCCTGGCACTGCCAGTCCTATTGCTTTGGGACTTGCACACCTAGACCAGTACACACTTAACCCTTTGCACCTCTTGCTGCAGGGGCTGATCTCTCCGGTGAAGCCCTAATCCCTGTGGCATGCTTCTCTCCATTCTGAGGGGTCACCACATACTAGCAAGCTGCCTTCCCAAGTCTTACTTTTAACTCCATGGCTGTTAGAAAAATTAAATTAGGTAACAGCTGTGAAGGCCCTTCGCCATTCCTGGCACTGAATAGGGGTAGGAGACCAGTCAGATGAAGGCCCGTTCCCTCTGCTCCTGTAAGGCATTGAGTTTCCATTCCAAACTACAGCCACCAGTGGCAGAACACTCTCCCCACACCTGCTCCAGGGCTCACCTCTCCTTTCGCCCAGGTAGCTGATGCGGACCTGGCACTGGCCCCAGACGGCGCTTACAGCTGGATAGAGAGTCCTGCCCTTCAGTCCGTGGAAGGCGGGACCCAAGTAGGTGCCCCCAATAGCGTAGCCCAGAGTTCCCTCCTCCATGTCCAGAATCACCAGCAGCCTCTCTGGCACCTCCAGCTGCTCACCCTGAGGTCCGGCTGGATACTGGGGGGCGCCAGGCCCCTTGCTCTGATGGTACAGCTTCCCCCGCCCAATGTCCCAGCCCCACGACTCGCTGTTGCTGCCCAGCAGCGCCGCATAGTGGTCAGCCTGCAGCGGGGCGAGGGCCGTGGCCACGCCCACCACGGCGTGGGTGCCCCTCTGCTCAGGGGGCCAGGTGATCTCCCAAGCGTGCAGACCCCTCGAGTAACCCCTCTTACCCCGGGCCCCATCAGTGCTCTGGGCCACGGGCCTCCGTTCAAAGCACAACCCCCCTTCCTTGACCTCGATGTTCTCTGAGCAGTCCTTGGGATTCCAGCCGTGGCGTCGCTGGGCCCCCAGATCAGGAGGGGGAGCAGACAGCAGCTCCTCCAAGCCCTCGGGACAAGAGAGGTCAGGGCACAGGGCCTGAGGGGTGGAGGTGCTACTGCTGCCCCCTGCCAAGGCCGTCTGGCCCATGGAGGTGACGAGCGGGAGGATTCCCCGAAAGAGTCTTGCTGGCGTCTCCTCTTCTGAAAGTTGAGCTCCTGTTCGGCATCGACCTAGAGAGGACGCGGGACAGAAGAGAGAGTGAAGCGAGGGATCCTGGCGGGAACTCTTCACTCAGATGCCCCATCCTTTCCCCCAGGTTTGCTCACCGCCTTGCTCCTCCCTCTTCGCTCCCCTCAAGCTCCTAAACCCATCATCACCTTGCCCGCACCCACCTGTCCCGGTCTCCCGAGACTCGCGAGTTCGCCGCCTTTGGGCCTGTCCAGAGACCGTCCCCCTCGCCGCCCCACCCCCCCCCGTGCCCTTGTCACCACCCCCCGAACCTCGCCTGGCTTCCAGTGCCGGGAGGTCGTCGGGCCTCCGGAGGAGCCCAGCCGAAAGTCGCTGAGGCGCGCTAGCCTCAGACCGCCTGCCGCTTCCGCCTCCAGCACCGCCCCCAGGGCTCGCCCCGCCCTAGGCCCCGCCCCCAGGCCCTGCGGAGCGGTTAACACTCTCGGCGCCGCTCCAGGTGGCGTCCTGTCCCGAGACCACGCCCCCTCGGGGGTCCTTCGGGGGCAGTTACTGTCAGCTGGGTGGTGGCTCTGGAAAGGCCGGTAGTGCGCAGAGCCCAATCCCGAGCAGTTAACCTCGGGGCACCGTCCCTCGCCGCCCTCACCTCCGCCACCGCCCCAAGGCCCCGCCTCTGCGAGGGGGCGTCGGAGCGCTTAACCCCTCTCTGGCTACTATGGAGTCCAGCCCAGGCAGTCCAAACTCAGAATTAACCCTTCCATGGTATCATCGCTTTGGGATCCCTGGAGGTCTGTTCTCCACCGTCAAGAACTTTGAGCCTCTTGTACAACCAGCTCCTGAGCCCCTAGAGATGAGGGGTGTGAGGTCAAGGATGGGCTGCCATTGTGATACTCCCAGTCCTGGTGATTCTGGGTCACTGTTACTGGGCTGGTCTTTTTCTGGCCCCAGTTGTGAGTTAGCCTGTTCTGTGCCTGAGGTTCTGAACTCTTGAGTATCTAGCTCTGAGGGGCAGGTGTCATAGGTCTCCACGCTGTTTTAGTCTTCATCCTGCTTGTCAATCCATTCCTGAGCTGTTGGCCTCATCTGGGAGAGTGTAGCGGGCAAGACGTTGCTTGTGAGTGAAGCTATGCCACTAACTAGCTCTGTGACCTTGGGGAGGTTCCCAAACTTCTCTAAACCTGTTTTCTCTTATGTAAAATGGGAATAATGATGGTACTTAACCTCACAGGATGTTGTGGAGTTGAAATAATCCAGGTAAAGCACTTAGCACAGAGCCTGCACTCACTAAACACAGCTATTACTGAAGTGTCCTTAACATTTACAGAGTGCCCGCTCTCTAGAGAGTTAGTGTAAGATAGTGGTAAAGGATGCCAACTGTGACTGGGTGTGAATACCTGAAGGCTGGCAGGTAGGGGACCTTGGGCCAATTACTTAACCTCTCCATGCCTGTTTCTTCTTCTGTAAAATGGAGATGCTACTGCTACCTACTGCATAGGCTGTAGTGAGGATCAGTGAGGTTTTATACATACATACATAAAGCGTTTAGAACAGTTTCTGGTTCAAATTTAATCATTTGTGGGGGAGGGTATAGCTCAAGTGGTAGAGCGCATGCTTAGCATGCACAAGGTTCTGGGTTCAATCTCCAATACCTCCTCTAAAAATAAATAAACCTAGTTACCCCCCCCACCAAAAAATGTAATCATTTGTGCTAAAGACTGAAGATTACGCAGTGAATCCTCAAGGAAGTTAAAAAGGACATTTATAAAACACTTTATCATGTAGTAGGTAAAATTCTGGATATCCAGAAAGTACTGTGGGAGGAAAAAGGATGGGACTCCTAACCAGGGATCAAGCAGTTTGGAAAGAAAAATGTCCTGGTCCAGGGGATGACACTGGCCTGAATCTTTAAGAATGACAAGGAATTTGCCTGGGAGGTGGTTCCAGATGAATGTGGGTTAGATTAGAGTTGCTGCAGTAGAAGACATTCAGGCTGAGAGGTCAGCGTGAAAAAAACAGAAGTGGTAGGTGGGTTTGGGGAATGTGGAAGATTTCAGGGTTGCTGTAGCAAGATCGGAAATGTGAGACAAGCCTAGAGAAGTTAAGTGTCACCGGCAAGCCAAGTCAAGAACGCAAGTGTCAACTGAAAGAAATTGCACAACCTAGAAGTTGAGAGTTATGTTTTATTCTCAGACTTTCTGGGGACCTCAAGCCTGGGAAGCAGCCTCTAAGATCACTCTTAAGGGACTGCTCCAAAGAGGCACGGGAAGAGCCAGGATATATAAGTTAAAGACCATGTAGTCAGAATATGCAAAGATTAGTGTTAACTAAGGAAAACCAGATATTCCAAGTTAAGAAATTTAGAACTTTTGTGTGTATGGGAAGATGCAAAAGTCTGGGCTCACTGAAATCATTCCTTTGATATGTGTCTTAACTATCTAGGGCTCATATCCTGTTCTTTCCCATCTTGAGTCCCCTCCAGGTGGGGGGTGGGTGCAGAGGCAGGCAGCCCACTTGTCTCCATCCTGAACTCCGTCCTTCTCACTGGCTCACCTTTGGGGGCTGGGGGGCAGAGGTGGTGGCTGATGGCTGATGGTGTTTACTGATACAGCAGGCAATATTTTTCATTCACAGAAATGTAACAGGGCCAGTAACAGGGAGCCATGTAGGAGAAAAGCAGGAGAGGATCATGGTCAGATCCTCATTTTAGAAAAACCACCCTGGCAGCAATGGAAAGGAGGCTTTGAGGAAAATAGGGCTGGAAGCAAGGAAATGGGTTCCAGGGGCTCAGGTGACAAGTATTGAGAGCCTGAAATAGGGCAGTCAAAATAAGGATGAAAAGAATTCAAGAATCACTGATAAAACGGCAAGATTTGGTCACTGATTAGATGCTGAGGGAAAGGAAAAAGTCTAAGAGAGGTTTCTAGCCTGGAAAACTTTGTTGGAAGGTGGTGCATTGAGTAAAGATGGCAGAGACAGTGCCATTTGCAGCAACATGGATGGACCTGGAGATTGTCATTGTATTGAATTAAGCCAGAAAGAGAAAGAAAAATACCGTATGATAGCACTCATATATGGAATCTAAAAAAAGGAAAATGATGATACTAATGAACTCATCTACAAAACAGAACCAGAATTATGGAAATAGTAAACAATCTTATGGTTATTAGGGGAAAGGGACTGGGAAGGGATAAATTTGGGAGTTTAAGATTTGCAAATGTTAAATACTATATATAAAAATAGATTAAAAAAACAAATTTCTTTTGTATAGCACAAGGAACTATATTCAATATCTTGTAATAATCTTTAATGAAAAAGAGTATGAAAATGAATATATGTATTATATATGCATGACTGGGACATTATACTGTACACCAGAAATTGACACATTGTAACTGACTATACTTAAAAAAAATGATGAATATCTGTGTATGTTCGTGTATAACTGAAAAATTGTGCTCTACACTGGAATTTGACACAACATTGTAAAATGACTATAACTCAATAAAAAAAGTTTTTTTCTTAAAAAATGGCAGAGACAGGAAGATGCCCTTGGGGGCAAGGGCAGGAGGATGGGAGAGAGAGATGGTGAGTTCAGTTTAGCAAGTGTTTTTGAAGTGTCTGAGCAACAACCCATTAGAACCATCCAGAGCACACTTGAAAATAGCAGAGCTGCAGGGCAGGGAAGGGAAAGGAAGGGCAGCAAAGGAAAGGGAAGGGGAGTGAAGGGAAGGGAAGGGAGAAAAAAAAGGATGGCAGGTCTGGAGGGAACGGTGAGAGGCTGGAGATACAAATTTGGGAGGTGTGTCAGCCTTCAGCCAGGAGTTGAACTATCAAGTTCAATCAAGAGGGGCCCAGGAGAGAGAGTGCAGAGTAAGAAGAGAGTCAAGGAGGACACAGCACAGCACACAATTCAGGTGAGTTTGCATACATGATTTTTTGGTCATTAGCAACTTCAGTGAGAGAGCACACATAGGCTGTGGGAGGTGGGGGTCCAGGCAGAAGGGGATGAGCTGGCACTTTCCGTGTGTCAGGTGTTGTGCTACATGCTTCAGGTTTTTAGGGGTTAGAGAGTTGGGAGATGTAAGGTGATAATTACGTCTCATAGTTAAAATTATCCTTGAAAATCCCTTGCCCCATCTATTAGGTACAGTGTATGTTAGTTTTGTACAAAATATGTGTCAGTACACATACAATGATGCACAAAATAAGATTTTATATTGTTTTAATTAAAGAGAAAGAAGAAAGCAAATTCAAAAGAAAGGTATGAATCTGAAGACCTGTCATCCACCCAACCTTGATATTCTTGTGACAACAAAAATCGTGACATCATAACTGTGGATACTGCCATGATAAATATTAGTGCAGGAAGGCTTAAGAGACAGTGAGCCTAATCCATGGCCAACTCAGTTCACCTGGAGACCCTGTACCTACTCAGTTGCTGGTGGTTTGAAATCTTGAACTCCTCAAACATCGTTGGTAATAGCTCAAATAGTCCACAATGCTACAAGTAATTTTAACTTCTTACTTTTTTATTGTGATGTATATAGAGTACACTAATCTTAAATTGCTCAGTGAATTTTACAGATTTACATGCAACAAAAAGACCAAGAACATTTCCAGCATCCCAAAGGGCCCCTTCTTGTGCTGACACTACACCCCCAAAGTAACTCCTATCTGACTTCTATGCTATAGATTAGCTTTGCCTCTTCTTCAAGTTCATGCAAATGAAACAATACCATATGTATTATTTGTACTCTTCTGTGACTGACCTGTTTTACTCAACATGTCCATGAGAGTCATCCCTTTCTTTGCACGAAATGGTAGCTCATTATTTCCATTGTTCACAGTATTCCACTGTATGGATACACCACAACTTACGTCTTCCACTGTTGGACATTTGAGTTGGCTCCATTTTTAGTTACAAGAAAGCTACTATGTACAGTATCAGTCTTTTGGCGAACCTAGGCACACATTTTTGTTGGGTGCATACTTAAGTGCAGAATTGCTGGATTATAAGCAATTACAATGTATAGATTTAACCACATGTAATTTCTAGGGTTCTCACCATGGAGGGATTTTATTCAGAAATTAAACCATTCAGGTATGTTGCAGCATGGAACACTTCAACAAGTTTATGAAGATTTGAACTCTTGTCTTTCTGTCTTTCCTTCATCTTCTGGGGGTGATTTGATCAGTTCTTCAGCTTTTCATTAGTGTTTCTCTGTGCCTCTCCAGAAGTTCTTCAATTTCTTCTGCAAAGCCATCACTATTCACTTCCTATGCCACTTGAACAGTGAGTTTCACTTCTTTGTCAATATAAAACCTTTAAAATCCTAAACATGTTCTTGCCAACATGCCAGGACTATTTTAGGCTTGATTGTTTCCATGCCTGCTTCATATAAAGGATGCAACTGGCCATACTGGAGAACTTTCAACTCTTCCAGCTCATTACCACATTTAGATTAGGGTCAGCATTCACGGCTCTGCAAGTCGAGGAGGAATCTTAGCCTCACGCATGTGGCTTTGAAACAGCAATTCACGCTGAAATCAGCAGAGTGAAGAAGGGTGATGGTGGGGGAGGAAGACTTCAATGTCTTCATCAACACACTCATTAAGTCTGTGGTACCTCACTGTGATGCCGCAGCCTGTGAGCGGCAACACCAAAGCCGAGGCCTTTCTCTCCAAGGACCTACTGGGCTTCTAGAATGTAAACTATAAAACCGAATCAGGAAAAGTGCTGCAGCCACCCAGGACTTCGCATTTGACTGACAGAGTACAGCAGATTTTTTTAAGGGCACTGGCATTTGTATCTCTGCAGACCATGTCTGGCTTTATTAAACACAGTACTACATTGCCGCCAAGAGAGGAGAGAGAGATGGTCACAAGGTCATTAGCTGCTTTCAAACCAGGGCCTTGTGTTTCTAGCTTGGAAATATAAAAGCAGTTGGGCATCCCCCTGCCCCCAAGATACTAGCCCCCTTAGATTCTGGAAGATAACTCTGGCCAATAATTACTTTTAGTAGCTCTGGGTGGGTTTTGCTGCCTGTTCCTTAACAGATACAACCTCATCAACAGTTTGAACGTTTTTGAGGTTGAAGTGGTTTCTAAAACTGTTATGACATCCTTCGCTGGTTTTGAAATCCTTCCATCCCAAACCTGACTTCTCTGGCAGGAGGTGTGAACTATGACTTGAGACCAATAGCTTTTCTCTTTCCTTTTTTGCCCATATGGCCATTGTTAGGCACATATTTCTTCTTCATAATCCAGGCATAAGTTTAGTGCTCTTTCAGTCCTCATTAATGATTTATCAGATGTAATTTGCTGTCACTGTAACAGTTATAGGAGAACTTGACGACCTGGCTTCACAAATTTGTTGAATCTTCATTGCACATGTGACTTCCCAAGGTCATATTCATGTGCCACGTTGGAGATGGACATACTGCCCCTTGGTGTGTAAGCTAGTTTTCCTTCCAGCATGTAGCCTCAAATGAAATGGTTAGACTGCCTTCAGAAGGGTCGTATTATGCGGTAAAAAGGCATCTTAAAACTGGAATCTAATTTAAAAGGCAAAACACTAGCACCGCAGTCAGCCTCCCAAGAGACACACTGGAGCCAGAACTGGGGCCAAGAGAACAGAGTCCAGTCTCTCGTCTCATGCTCGCGTGGAACCGTGGCTGGCGACCTTCTGCCCTATTTAATCTGAGAATCGTTGTGTTCACGTTAAGTGTGCCTATGATGAAACTCCATCACACCTCATTTAGATCCGCACAACAGACAGCCCCATTTTTACAGATTCGTAAACTGAGGCTCAGAAAGATTAAACAACTCGTCCAAGACTAAAGCTGGTAAAAGGCAGTGGCAGGATTCAAAAAAGGACACTGCGCCAAACCCAAGAGCGGTGACG